ACGTCGTGATCTCTCTCCATCTTCATCATCTCGTGGTTGGCAAAATCCCAACGCAGCCCCACAGAGAATACCACAGTGCCAGTATCGCACACCAACTCCGGCACCCTGTTGTACCTGTACGTCCCCTGCAGGAGCTGCACACAGTCAGGATCATCCTTACCACCAGCCATTGCCGCAGGAGGGAAAATCACTTCAGCTCTGAGCGCACGAACTGATTTGGGCAGTTTTCTATCTTGCTGATACCTCTGAAATTCCGAAAGGTTAATCATCATCAGCCCTGTTCGTGAACATCTGTGGATTTTGAGTTCGCCATGTCCCTTGATGCTGACTGTTCCTGCACCCATGTCCTTCACCAAGCCCAGAGTCGCTTGAGCATACAAGGAAATCAACAAAGGTGTCTTGCCAGAGTTCAACTCATGTGACTCCAAGGTGCCTGAAATAACTTCATCATTGGTCAAACACATCGCAAACGGCATTCTTCGCATGCCCAAGGTCACCGCATTCGAGGCCAAACCAGTAAACTTCTTCGTTTCCCTGTTAATCCATGGCATGCTCATGCCTTGCTTTCTAAGCCTCTTCTCCATCTCATCTGCCCAATAAGATGAGTGGACCGTGCTGTTGCAACCCTCATCCAACGCACCCCACACATCCTTTTCGTCTTCTGCATAAATGTCAACAACAGGAAAGTTCTGAACGGACACTGTGTCAGGTTTCATCTCGTCGTCCATCCCGTGATAAGCGACCGCTTCCCAGGGTGGTGATGCTGGCTCACCCCCTTGCGTCACTTCCATTATATACACAGTCCTGCAGGATGATGTGCAGGTCTGCAGCTGCCAGTTCCTCACCTGCCGTGAGAGATTGGGTCACAACCGCTGAAAACGTACCTACAATTTCCTCCACTTGACTTTCTGACAACCTATGTTGGGCATCTGCTGAAGCAAGTCCTTGTATGATGGGTGCCACAGTAATGTTGGCTTGCTCAACCTGCTTTGATGTTGCCTTCATTTCCTTTCTATCTTCCATGGGCATCTCACTGATGAAGCTAGCACATTGCTTGCACCACACCCGAAACGTCGACCGGGAAGAACCTCTGTGATCAACCAGCTCATGCGGACAGTTCTCAACAGAATGAGTTGGTATGTCTTCCCGTTTCGTCGTGGTCGCATGGCCACAATCTCTGCAAGTTTTCCGAACCGTATATCCCGTTGATCCTTGATACGAGAAATACTTGCATTCCACACACTTCTCAAGGGGTGGATTCGGTGGCTTCCTCGACGAAGATGGCTTTTCCATGGGGTTGTACGTACCCGGGGGAACAGCTAAAAGCGAGCTCTTCGTCAATGTACTTTCCCTCAACAACGTAATGCTTCATGACCCAGCTGAGGAAAGATTGTAAAACCTGTGATGGCTTCTTCTGTGACAATCCCCATGCTACATACTGAGGGTTTTGAATGACAATTTGCCGGTATGTCATTCCCTTGTACTTTCCGAGAAGCATCCTCTGCTCACCGCCTTCCAGGTCCTCATCCATCTCCCCCTCACGAACCACGATTCGAGCTCTGTTGTTTCTCGTGACTGCATCTTGATCCTCGGAAGGGGTATTCATGGGAATGGGCACAGGGTCAGACGACCTAGGTGGGCTCCGTGGAAAGAATCCGACGCATTCGCCTTTGTGTAACCCTTGCCTGATCTAGACGACCTGGAATTGGATACTACCAAAGCCACGCCTTCAGGTGCCTGGCCTGCCTGCAAGCAAATCTCGTGATCACTTGAAGTGTCACTGTCATACGCCACAAATGCTGATCCAGCAGGCTTGTCACCTTTCCCTTTTGGGCCTGGAAATTTGCAATCAGGGTCACCGGCCCAGTGGCCGTGCCCTCCACACCTGAGGCATTTGCTTCTCTTCTTCAACTCTTGCAACTTTGATCGGCGCTGTTCCAGTGTCAGATGTGACCGAACCAACTTTCCTTTCCCTTTTCCTTTCGGTCCTTTTCCCCCTTTTCCTTTGGCCTTACCAAAGGCAGCATTCGCTGCCAGCTGCAGCTGAATGGCTTCTCCGACACTGAGCGGATCACTGCTCTCTGCATCCAACTCTTCCATGGCGTTGAGAGCAGTGGCCTCGCCTTCATCACCTATCTCTTCAAACTCGCCAGAATCGGGCATCTCTTCAGGATCGGTCATCGGTGTTCTGTCGACACCACCGTCCACTGTGTACCCGAAACCTTCATCTTCAGCTTCTTCATGCGGATTCATGGGCTCCCCTTCTTCCCATTCAGGATACCCTGACCAAGCTGGAAGCGCGGACTGCCAGACGAAGATGAAGAGCTGTGAAAAGAAGACTTTCCCTTACCTTTTGTCTGATAGCCTCCTTTCCCAGTCGAAGACGGGCCCAGCACTCTTCCTTCTCGAAGATGTACTCCACCGTAATTCCTGATCAGGGCCTCTTCAACCTTGCTCAGCTCTCTTCCGCCTTCCGAACAGGCTCTGATCACAAGGATCTCTTGATGTGAGATGTTCGCCAACTCAAGCATCAACTCTGAGCGCATCTGCTCAGACAACGACAGCGTTGGATCCATCTCCACAAGGGTCCTCCACCATCTGCGCCTTCGGGAAATGTACGAGATCATGCTCTCCCCTCTCTGCCGGGAAAGTGCTCCTTGAGGTTTCTGACCAACACGAAACAGCTCACGAGCTTCCTCAGTGGCTCTTGGGAAAACCATGTCTCTCATTTGCTTGATCAAATTCTCAATACCTTGCGGCTCACTCAAGGCATCAAGTCCGAGATCACGGGCCACCAAGAACGCATCGCCCCGGAGTCCTTCTACAATCCGGTGCGTGAGCTCCGACCTCGTGTCCCTAAAAGCCTCCTTGGCCTCAGCTTCTGCAGAACCTTCTTCACCTTCTTCTTCTCCTTCTTCTTTCACAGTCCGTTTGGCTGTTTTCTTGGTTCTCAGAAACTCCTCATACATCCTCAGGCGAAGCATGGTGCGGAATTCCCAATCATGGAAGCCAGCGGGGTCTCCACCATAGATGTATGAACCACTCCGAGTTTCAGCAGGGTCTGTAGCACGAGCGCCGTGGTCCGGGCTGAAACGAAGCCCGGCCACTGACATGACCTACCGCCCTGACTTGCCCGGAGTCGTTCAACCAACGCTCCGCTACCAATGTGAATGTAGCAAGCAAATCGGGCTCTTACTTTTCGCTTCGAGCGCTATGACTCAAGGGCCCTCGTACCAGAATGGCCCGGTCATGCACAACATGTTCAACACCCTGGCTTCAATCTATACAAATTACAGGGAGAATTCACACAGGCCATTCCGAAACGCCGTCGTGTGTAAGCAAACCATTTTGAGACGAAGAATTAAAGAAACATGGTCCAAAAGCCGCGGACACAGGGAAACGCAACTGCAGAATGTGAGCAATGGACAATATGACTCGATTCAACAGGACCTAGGAAAACGAAGGTTGGGTGGAGCCCGGAAGTTTGTGGGAACTTGGGTTGTCCCCCATGTCCTCCCTCAAATCGATCGTAGAAAAACAATTGTGTCCTGTTGCCAGTGAAACATGTGCTGTTTAAAGGGGGGCAGCGCAACAAAAGTTGAGCCAGCTTAACAACAAATCCTGCTTCGCACAAATGCCCGAGACATGTCCAAGACAGAACCCCCCCCGGCTCCACTTTGGGTGCTTTCCCATATGCAAGCAAGCAGCTGTGTTTGAGCCAGGGCTTGTAGTTTGAGGCATACCCTTCCATCTAACTAACATCAACATGGAAATTAAGCGAGGGGTTCTGGTAGACAATTCTCCTTCGCATGTTAGTGGACAGGCGGGACATTTCTTCCTAAAGGGAAACCATCCACAAAAAAAATGGTCGAACACCGGGCTCGCAACTCGCCGGGCCAGTACCATGGTGTGAGAAGCCGGGTGAGTGGTGCCGCTGGAGCTTAGAATTTCAGCCCCGAAACGGGGGAGGTCGCACAAAAGGCGTCCCCAGACTCGTAGAGGAGTCCTGTGTCAGGAAAAGAGCAGAACAAGCAAGGGCGAATCTCGACCCTTGAGAGACCAAAGTGAGTATCTGGACCCGAAAGAGCTAGCCTTAAAATAGGTAATTTGAAGGCAATAACCATTCTTGAGACAATGATTCACTTGTACGGCAGGTAGGTACTGGCCACCAAAGGCAACCCCAGTTGCTGACCTTGGTCTCTCCCAGAAACATCCAAAATACTGACGGTGAGTACCCCTTTGGAGCTTCACGAGCTTTGGTCCGATCGAATGGTCCGAGCGCTTCGCAAAATTCAAAATGGGAAAGAACGAAACCCGAGGAATTCACTGGGCCTTTTGAAGGAACAGTGTGACACCGGTGTCGTTTTTGCTGTCTTGGGTGTGGTAAATCGAGGGGAACAACGAACATGTTTCAACCCATGTTGTTTACACTCCTTTTGGTGTCGCTTTAAACAGGGACCCTTGGGTCTCACTGTTGACACCAAGCTTACCCAACCCCCTGTGACTACCACTACAGCAAGCAACAAAGGAAAACCACGCCAAGTCCAAAGAAAAATGCCTTCCGCAATTTCATTGGATATTGGCTAAACAGCTGGTTGACAAAACCACCACGTGTGACACGCATTTATAGAGCGGTCCCATCTCATATGTATGAAACTAGGAGGGGGGGGCCAGAGAAGCTTTGATCTTTCGTTTTAACGCCCCTTACGGTGATAGGGTCGAGCAACACATGCACATCTTCCATTTGCTTAAGCCCCCCCTGGAAAACGTAAACAATACTATGTCCAGCAGTGATCGACTCCTTCCAAAACAAACAAGGGAAAACAAATTAAGCAACACATCCTAAACAAAACGAACAGCGAAGATAGTTGTTTCTTTTCCACGAAAAAGAACACAAACACAAATGGAAAGACGCCTCTCCCGGCGAAAAAAACATGGAAAGACGCCTCTCCCGGCGCGTCCGGGTAATCCCCTCCCTCCGTGCTCCAAGCCCGAGGCGCGCATCAGCTTCCCGAGCTTCACCACGCGGAAGAGCCGCAGCACCGCGAAGGGCCGCAGCACCGCGTTGTCGATGCCCAGCGGCAGCAGGATCCAAATCTCAGCTGAGGTTTTGTTTATTATTCTTATTGTGACTGACCACCCCGGAGTTGTGTAGTGATCCAAATCTCAGCTGTGGCTCAAAGTTAAACCGATCGGAGGGCAAACCGCAGGTTTTGGGAACCATGTTTCCACCTACCGATCGGGCAACCCATTTTGGAATTCCGGCTTTTTGAGCCACTGCCGGCTGATATTTTTTTAATTGTGACTGACCACCCCAGAGTTGTGTGATCCAAATCCAAATCTCAGAAGTTCTTTTGGGCCAAGTTGTGGTGGAATGCGGGCCCAAAATGGACCCTGGTAGATGGCCACAAAGTTTCTTGGGCCGAGGACCAGGTCCCTTCGGTCAAACAATAGATGGTGCCTTCTTTCCTGGTACATGGGGAATAAAACCAACATACATCCCACGGAGTTGTGTGGTGAAGTTTGCGGGTGGAGTTGTCAAGATGTAGTTGGCCAAGTCCTTTGGGTTGGAATAGATAGCTAGGTCCTCCAGTAGAGAGCTTAGAATAAGGGTACCCTATGTTTTTTTTGCAGTGGTCTAGTTTAGGGGAACCCTCCCCCGGAAAAGGGGAGAGAAGGGCACTACTGGAGGATCTAGATGGGTGTCCCTGGCAAATGGATTAAAACCAACCTAACCCTCCAAGGGACACCTATGCTTGGGACCCCCCTTGTCAGCTTCTCTCGCTTTTTTGTGGTCTGGGTTGGTGATTTGGAGGTGAAACAGGCCCATTTACCCACAAGAACCCGGGGTTCCAATCCAAATCCAACCCACCAGTGCTTGGCTTGCCACAAAGCCATGGGAAAGGCCCCTTACCTTTGGTGGTTGGTCTGGGCTCAGAAGATAATTATACGGGTGTTTTTTTTCGTTCTGGGCCAGTGTGGTCTTTTTCGAGGGCGCCCAATTTTCAGGGCAAAAAAAAAGGAACGACTGATCCAACCACAGAGGGCCCTAGTTGTTTTCTTTCTTGTTCTTTAAAATATATATAAATATTTATCTTCCTGGCGACTTTAAGCATCACCGGGCCCAGTGAGATGAAGGGGTGATGTTGGAGCCTTAGGGAGGCAAGGGCGATCCAGTCGATTGGATCGGCCCACCAGAGGCGTGTGTCCTTTCCTTTTTTCTTCTCTTGAGACGCCAAAACGGTGAGTCCTTTTAATGTCCCTTTAAATCACTCAAACAAGGGGGTGGCCTCAAAAACGACCACTCCCACAATTCAAACCAACTGGGAAAGATCACATCTGCGAAAGGCCCAAAAGAAAAAGGATAAAACTCGGTTGCTTTCTGCTCCCCTGCTAAAACTTAACTTTTGGTGGTTTAATGGAACACCCATTAGCTGGCAAAAAGTTAAAGTCCTAACATCCCTTGGCAAAATGCACCAAAGAAAACATGGGCACTGCAGGTCTGAGAGCCGTTTTTGTTTGTCCTTGTTGTTTTCTCGGCCAGGCCACGGGTACGATGTTCGTGGCCATCACGATGACCACGTCGAAGAGGTTGGAGGCCTTGCACCACCATCGCCAGCCCTGGCGAGAGATCGACAGAGATCGACTCGAGCCGCCAGGCATGGCACGACGTCGTTTCAGACGAAAAATGGGTTGCAACCCATAAAAATATAGCGGGTGATTTCCCTTGTTCAAGGGCAGGTCATTTGAGAACTGGTTTGCAAGACCAAAAATGGGTTGCGTCCGGAAACATATAACCTCTCTCCCACTCACATAGCACCTGTTGGAGGGTACCTGCAAGATAAATTTGCTCCTGAAGGGACCCTCTGTGAGGTGCCATGTTACTTTGGGGAGGGTAGCGGGTGAGTTCCCTTGTTCAAGGGCAGTTTTGTCGACTTTCAGCCAAAATACGATGATCAGCCTTTTTGTGGGTTGCATTCCTTTCCCTTTTTTGAGGGTCCAGGCAGATATTCAGATGCCTATTTTCTGAGGATGTAAGGGGCAAAGAAGGGTCAAAGTGCATCCTCACAGGCTACCACCCCCTAGGGGGTGCCGTGTTGGTGTCCTTGTGGGAAATTGTTTGTTCACAATAAATATAAGCTACTTTGCAACCAGTACTTCGGGCAAAAACTGCTGGAAGACCGCTCACCAGCCGGATCGGTGTTGGATCCTTCAAGCCTTTTGGAACCGTGTTTCAACATGAAGCAAAACAGGGGAACCAAAACGTTCAACAGGGATCCTTACATTATACACCTGAACATTGCCTTGTAAATGGTGGTTTCCCTTTATTTTGGTGGGAAAAGCCATGTTTCAAATGGGCAAAATGTATCTTTCAAGGAGCCCTGTTCAAACGGTCGGCTTTGGGCAAATGAGGAAGTCTCGCCGTCTTTGGTTAGAGGGACAACCTGACCGTGCGAATGCTTTGGGTCGTTCGAACCAATTGGATACTCTTGATTGTTTGAAGCGGTTGCCATGTTCATCAGCGACGATTGGGCAAGTGAAGTCCATGAATGGGTGGAGCATGGTTTCACAGGCAAAACAAATCTCACACATGTAAGATGCGGGCCTAAATAGCTACGAGCGAGCGTGACTTCGGCTTTGAAGTGCCCAAACTCCCATTATCAGCAGTTAGGCTCAAATCCTTAGAATCCAACACCGGTGTCTTGCTCGTGCTTTATGAGCTGCACGGGTGCTTGGCATCTGGATGAGCTTCTGCTTTTGCAGCGGACCAATCGCCCCCGGAGATGACCCAAACCCAGTGTGCTGCATCTGACCCAGACCCTCACGCCAAACAAGCTCCCATCTTTTTGCCCCTCTCTCCTCGCGCCACTTCGCAAGCCGCGCGCGCCTCTGGCAGCGAGCGGGCGAACAACTCCAGCACGAAGAAGACCGTGAAGCCGAAGTCCAGGATCGTATAGATCCCCGCCGCTGCCTTGTCCTGCGACCAACGGATGGCTTAAGGGTTCCAGTGTCGCAGGCGGAAATGTTCCCAGGGGTGGTTGCGCAACCACCCCAAAGGGGAACGGGGAACGGGTCCCTTGGCGCTTATGTCTACCTTGGGGTAGTCAAAAAGTGGAGCCCTGCTGCCAACGGATGCGAAGCATGGGGAGGGAGATGTGACGAAAAGCGGGCCGCGAGGAACATGGGAAGGATGGGAAGGAGGAAACAAAGAAGATGATCGATTCTAGGATTCCAGGATAGGTGTAGGATCTATGAGGAGCTTGGTGTCCTCTGCAAGCATGGATTCAAATCTGCCCTTGGAAGCTTTCAAAGACAATGATTGTTGGTGTTAAACAAGACAAACACCAAAAGTTGAAAAAGGATTCTCTGCTTGGATGTTCGGCCATGTCAGGAAGTGGTAAGTAACCAAGGATATATTCTACACATGAGTGACTTGGCCCGGTTGTAAGTACGAACCCTCAGACTACCTGACTAGAAGTGGGCGATTGCGACCTAACATTATAGGGTGATGTCCCGGGAAGCTTGAGAATTGGTCCAGCCAGCTATAGGTTATAACTCCCTGGTTACTAACCACTTACCTGGGCCGCTCAACATGGAGGGTTGGCCCAATCCTAATCCACAATCCCTACAGGAAAGCCACTAGGGGGACCACATCCTTGCGCAACCCAAGGTAAGGATTGAGGATTACCTTTGAACAGCCCAGCTTCCCATCTTGCCCGCACATCCAAAGTGAGTCACTCCTAGGTAGTAGAGAGGTTCAAATAAGGGTACCCGACTTTTTTCCGTGGTCTATTTCAGCCACAAAAAAAGGGTAAAAGGACTGTGGCCTTCCAACACGTTTTTCCACCCCCCTCTCCTCCTGGGACAGTGACACCTGGAAGCCGATCATAATCGCGTTGGCCAACATCACCTGAGAGGGCAGTTGAGGGCCGTTGAGGGGCGTTGATCAAGATTCCTGGGCCCCAAACCATGGCTCACTTTTCCCACGTGGGGAAACTCAGTTGTTCAGTGACCCTGGAAAAAAGGGGAACCCTTTTTGGGGAAAACCATTTTTGGTGGGGCTGCCACCCAAAAAAATGGAAAAGAATTGGTGCCACTGAACAACTGAGTCCCAAAAGGTGATTCCATCTTTGAAAAACCTTTTGATCAACCCCAGTTCATGGTCCGACGGGGAAGGGGCGCTTCGGCTTCGGCTTTGAGTTCTCCTCCAAAGGATACCTGGGAAACTACAACCATTTCTTTGAGGCAACTCAGTTTTAGTCAGGTAGTTTGAGGCGGGTCCAGGTACCTTCAAGAATCTGTAGCAACCCATCTCATGTCTGATTGCGACAACCAACAATGAGCATACTCAACTAGGCTGTCCTCACACCCCCTGCTTTAAAAGTTGAACTTTCAGCGGCTTAAATGGAAATCCCCCCACTAATCACCCCCCCCAAAAAAAAAACACGAAAAACAAAAAACGGACGGCTTGTTGAGCCGCCAAGTCAGTGGCTACATTTTCCAGCGACCACTCAACCTCCATGAGCACCAGGAACCCGCTTGCAGAACATCGATGGTCATGAGTCAGAGAAGGCCAATATATGTATAAATATATATATATATATACATATGCTACCCCCCCCCCCCATGGACCCTGGTTTTACTGCCTTTTGGGGATGGCAAATCTGGGGGGTACCATATACATATGTATATGTTCCAGTCTTCCTTGGCCCCCACCCCCACCCACCCCCCAATGGTCATGCTCAGTCAAGAAGGTAGCACAGTGTGACCGTACAAGCCCCCCCGCCCCCTCTGTACGATCCCACCGTACAACCCCGCCCCTGTGTGGGATGGGTGGGGGGTCTATGGTTCCCACCCCCCCTCCCCCCCTTGCGTGGGAATGGGTTGGGTAAAACGCAGGTAGGTAGCACAGTGGGACAGTACACGGGGTGCATGCATGGTTCCCCCCCCCCTAGATCCCTGGATGGACCCATACCATTCGGGGGGGGGGGGCTGGGGACGACGGGCGACGGGAACATATATAAATACGGTTAATAGATGTATGGATATACATATATGCTTTCCTGATAGTGACCGCCACCGCTGAGGAAAAAACAACTGGGCGTGTCAATGGGTGAAAAGAAGAAACCAGCTTCTTGCCCTTTATTTGTTTGCGCATTAATGAGTTTGCAGCGGTTGAAACCAACACAAACTTCAAATAACCGGAAACCGAGGTGCCCTTGCTTGGTTGCTTCCTCTTGTTTTTCTTGTACAGTTGGTGTGGCTGGCAACCAGCAGGATAAACAAAGAAAAACACAAAAAGAAGCAACGCAAACTAATATTCATGGATATTTCATTTCAAGTTATGTAATTAAATGCATAATTGGGCCCTACACAAGCACAAGCCCCCCGGGCTGCAGACATTCCGGACGAATCGAAGGGCGAAATCCGAATCCCATCTCCCTGACGTCAGGGCACCACACCTGTGAATGCCTCGAAGCGGTCGGAGTGCACGATGTAGTCGAGCAAAGGGAAGGAGTTTCTGTACTCCGCGCCGCTGCGATAGGCGTCGCTCTCCCGCATCTTGCCTGACACAACTCGTTTACTTTATTTAAATGGCCCAAACGCCGAGGAGCATTTAAAGGCTGTGGGTGCGGCCGATTTGGATGGTACCCTCTTTGGAGGTGTCTTGAAGGGAAACTAAAGCGACACCACTCAATTTGGGGTCTTGGGTGCATTTGGGTGCGGTTTGAGATAAACCCACAACCCCAGGTCAGCTTTGGATGGGTTCGAACCCATGATGGCCATGAAGGCTTAGACCCACTGTTGGCCCTGCAATCCCTTACTCAAGTTGACAAGTGTTGGGCGCATCTCGCTAATTCAAACTCTCTTGCACGCTCAAGCTACTATGGTCGCACCTTGAAACAACAGGCGTAAAGTAGGCATCCAAACTGCATCTTGCAATGGTCTTCACATCCTATGATTGTCCTTATCTATACGCAAGGTGCCGCGGGTCTAGTTGTGTAAAGTCAACTTTTTGCAACCCCAACCCAAACACTCACAGGGCACAACTGTTTGTTGGTGTCCTCAAGGTGCTAGACTAGAAGGGTAGCTGAAGCTGCCAAACTCATTCGATTCGGCAAGGATTCAACCGTCCAAAGTGTGAGACATGCAGCAGCTGCGCTGTCCAAATATTGACATGGCGCACGGAACGCCCTGAAACTTTTGGCTTGCGATTGACCTTGACGGGCCAGGTGATGGCCCGACTCTAGCGCGGAGATCTGTTGACAACGAATCATGGTCTCCAAGTGGCCAAGATCAGCCAGGACCCTCAGGCTACCCATACAAAATGAGCGATTGCAACCCACAAATACGAACGAATTCAGCTCGGGTTCGGGAGGCCTCCTTTCCCGAAGCCTTAGCGATGCTGAGATTCTACTGCAGGGATCCAAGCCAAACGAATCCTATCCAGGGGATTAAACACATAAGAGGCACCCCCCCCTAATGTTTGGGGCACACGAGCCCCATAATATCCACCCCCCAAGTGGACACGAGCCCCATGTGAATGATGTCTGCCAAGGGGTCCCGTCCTGGAATATCGTTGATATTCTTCTCGTCCTAGGTCTCCAAAAGTTTTGCATCACCCCCACAAAACGCTTCCAAGCTTCGCTTTACCCAGGCTACTCCGATGGCTGCCAGGAACTTCGACCATGGAGTTGGCAGCTCCTGGAGGCATGGGCTAAAGGCAACAAAAAAAAAGAGTTGGCCAGTGGGTGTCCTTTTTTCAAGGCCTCCAAAACGGCTGGCTTCTTTTGGTGTCCCTTTGTACCGACCCCAACAAGGGGCATCCGCAAAGAAGACGCACGCATGGGCAGCAATAAGACTTATCAGGATGCTGAAGCGCCGCCCTAAGCCGCAAGCCGTTGTGACCTAAACTTGATAGCTACTGCCTCCCCGCCCAAAAAGTTGAGTTTTGCAGGCTAGGTCCACACTTGACTCGCCTGCGCCCCGCCATATGGCAGATGCAAACAATCGCAATGTGACCCAGCACTGGCAACGGGCATGCTACATTAGCCAACTGGCAGGGGCCGGAAACACACGCACACACAGCAAACGCCTCAGGCAGCAGGGCAAGGCATACCCAGAATTACTGCAGAAATCCGGATGAGGCCCAAAGCCCTGACGCGACAAAAACATGCAAGCGCCTCTGAGGTTGGCGACGCACCGTGGCCGACTCAAGGAATCGAGGTGGTGATGAATGCGCCCCATGCAGGAGATACGTACATGATGTACGCTTGGGTGTCTGGCACAACTCTGACAACTCAGTAGCAGTAGCACGCGTACCGCCAATTGCCCCCACACGGGGTTGTAGAGAACTCGAGTGTCCATGGGAGCAGCCAGAGCATCTTCAATGCGGCGCAAGGAGAAAACGCAGGAACACACGATAAAAACCGAAACTCTGTACAAGTAGCTCCAAAAAATTGGGTAGTCTATGGTTACAGATCCCACTCAATAACATTCTTTAGCTCCATGTCTTTGATTCGGAATGGCACACGAGCTTCAACTTCATGCCGACCAACCAAGGACTTGGGCTGTCGTGTTGCAAGTTGGTAGCAACTGCGTTTGATGCCTTTAGCGGGAACCCAAAAGGAAATCCACCGTCACGCTTGACTTCACTGCCCGTCCCCCCTGCGAAGCAAAGACGGACAGTCCATAAGAGGAAATCCACCAAAAAAAGGGGTCCAACCTCAAAAAAGACTGGCAACAGAACTCAACTGGTGCTTCTTGGTTGGTTTGAAGAGACATCCATGGGTGAAGAGGGCAGGTATTTGGCATCACCTGGCTCCAGACCCCCAGTGACACTCGTCAGTAGTTTGGCTTGGAAGGCGAGCCCCTCCAACACTTTCTGAGTGGATTGGCCAAAAAGTGTGAACCTTGTAGTATATATATATATATATAAGATTTGCTGCGAAAACGGCCTTCCCAAAAAAGTATAAAGTCCAGGAACTTGAGTCAGGGAGTGAGAAAAAGACTTGTCCAAAGAAAGCAACCCACCTGTCTGGGTAACACAGTCCTTCTTCAAGAGCAAGTCCTTGAGCATTTCGTTGGACGTGTGCGTCCAGAACTCACTCCTGAGCTCAGATTCATTTCAGTGTACTGTAGGTAGTGAAAGCTACGTTTTGTTCATGATTGAGAGTTGAATCTGCCCAAACGCGCGGACTTCTTGGTTGCCTTTGATCAACATCCTAAAGCGGATTGGAGCCCACCAAAGCAACCACAAAAAAAACACACAAAAAACGGGTGAGTCGATTGGGTCAATGACAACAAAGCAGTGGCCCCCATCCCTCGTACCAAAGTGACATGTGAGTCATCGACTGCTCCTGGCCGCTAAGGTCCAAAGCTCGTGTCTGAAAATCGGGGCACCCCCCAAAATATGTGGCCTCCTCGTTTTCTTTACACCCACCCAAACGCTGGTGCCCTTACAAAACCAGACTTACCCAAAATACAATATGATATATATATATATATTTATATATATATATGTACACCCAAAATACACATGACGCATGTATTACATATATATATATATATACACATACATGTCAATACCAAGGCAGTCTGTTGAAAGGTCAGCAATGCTGCTTCTCCAAGCTGCTCTTTGTTGGGCCTCCGTTCGGGCGTCTCCCCCATCTTGAGCAAGGTACGCAGCCTGCCGCTTGCGAACTACGAGGGTGTCTTGTTTGAGGAGAACCCCCCGTCCAAAGAAACAAACTTAGACTTGGTTTCCTGTTGGTTTCCCCTTTCACAACCAACTAAAAGCCCATAAAAGCCCCAAACATGACTGGTTTCGTGTTGGTTTCACCTTTAAAACCAACCGAGAGAGTGTTCACCATTGAAAGCAAACAACAAAGAGAGAAGTAGCGCCTTGCGATCGTGAGCACAGCACAGATTCTTAAGCCAGTGCTAGCAGCTTCTGTCTGTAATAGAGAGATAGATTAACTTCACACCATCCAAATTATGATACTTTGTGGGCAACCTTGCAATTATCTCGAACCCTGGTACCTCCCTCCAAAAGCATGAGTATAGGGCAGAGTTAATAGCCTCAGCTTCATATGCATTGTTCGGCCATGTTGGCCCTGCCACACCTGTTGCACGCTTCAAACCATCACGCGTGCAAAATGAGGGTAGCGGCAAACATCCGTTAACACACGTTCAATCAGCATCGAAACAACCTCAGGTTTCCCTTTACAAGGAGATCCAGGGCCTAGTTGTTTACTCCATTGATATCGAGACACAAGGTGTGTGTGTGTGTATGTTGACAACCTCAAGACAGACGTCCACGAGTGTGGGGAAAAAATACTTTGCAAACCTGAAATATGGAAACCGCCCGCGAGACTGACAGGTCTGATTCTTTTTCTGCCATTGGCTTAAGCCCCCTGGGAAAAATAAAAAAATATTTCCAGCAGTGATAGATTTCCTTTACAATTAACAGGGGAAAATAACAAAAACATATTCTTAAGCAGCTGGAAGTTTCTGTGGCGCCTGTGACCTTCATCCTTCGAGATCCAGCCGCTCTCCACGCGCTGTTGTATCTCGTTGTCTGCGTGGACCCACTCGTCCTGCAGATTTCGTTCTGACCTGTCCGCGCATGCATTTACTGCCGCGGTTGGCTTTCTCAGGATCAACTCTAATTGCTTCACAGAATGCAGCCAGGCTGATGTGGGTGTGTCTGTTTTGAGGGTGCCTGCGCTTTTGATGCTTTTAAACGGAAACCAACGGGAAACCCACCATATACCCACCATTCTTGGGGGGGCCCTACAATGCAAATCGTGCAGTTTGCATCTTTCAGGGTCCGCTTGCTCCGTTTCAGGGCCTTCAATCTGCCATGTTTCTAGTACTTCCAAAATTGAAAATGCGGGATGCCCAGGCAAAGGACCTTGTTTAACCCCAGAGCTCGCCACAAAACTTGCAGATTCAATGCGCAAAGCGCCGTAGCCCAGCCCAGATTTGGTTGCGGGTGACCACGAGACAGCAAAGAACTGCATCAGCCAGCTTCACCGATCAGAAGAGACCCATGAAATATGCTCCCCTACAAATTAACATGGAACCCAAATAAGGCAAGGTCCTCCAGTGGAGAGGTTAGAACAAGGGTAGCCTTTTTTCTCGATTTTAGTAGGGGAACCCTCCCCCCAACAAAGGATAAAAGGGCACTACTGGGGGACCTAGAGCAACCTTGCACCCCGCCTCCTCAAGTTCGATAGTTTTGCTTGCTACTCACCACCAGTTTTTTTGTTTACTCCCCAACAGTTTCAGATGGAACCTCCAAACCGCTCCAAACCTACCGTTTTTAGGACTGGAATCTCCTTTTCTGGAGGACCCGAGGTGGATACGAGAAACTCTACACATTTCAACATGGCTTGCTTTTTTGTTTGTGGGGGAGGGGAGGGGCCCAAAGGGAAATCACCCCAAGGTTATGAGCAGAACCCATGTTTATTCCCAGACAATTTACCCACCGGTGGCTTGTCCCATTTCACCCTTGAGACCATGCAGGTCCCCGCTCGGTTCCATCCGCCAACCTGAACAGGTGAAGGCTGGTTGAACCCAAGCTTCTCCTGTAGCGTCCAAATCTGGGCCAACCGCGGTAAAACATCATCTAGATTCATGTCGCCTTAAGATGAACAAGGGAAATTAGATCCCCAACCGCAATGCTGGGTTGCCATAGCCCATGCTTTTATGAGAGCTTTGAGGCTCCATGGCTGCAATCGCCCATTTTTTTTAGAGCTTTGAGGCTCCATCCCGGCGCGTCGGTCCGGCACAGAGGCCATGGTGCAAGGCTAGGCCAGTGACCTTAGGGCTCAGCGAAAATCTGGGGATGCCCAGAGGGGCCCTCACTGCGGGGACAAAATGAAGTTCGCACCTGAAGAAGCCGCTCTTTGTTGGTAAACTAAGGTTGACCCAGGATTAATAAACCCGTCCCAGAGTAACCTACACCCCACTCAAAGGGGACCCCGGCTATTAATCAACCACTGGTTAATTCATCCCGGTTAACATTACAGGGGAATCATCGGAAACCAGGGGTTTCTTAGGTGGTGCGAATAAGTTTGCCCGTGCACAGTAGCTCCAGCAAAGGGCCAAGCGCCCGAGCAGTTGTGAGCCTTTGACTACTCAATGTGCCTTGGACATTGCAATCTGCGACCGCGCAACAAGCAGAGAGACCAGCGCGCTCAACGGACTTGGTAGAAAACACTAATATGGCTGTGGGTCAAAAGCCAAATCGTACCCCCAGATGGGCGATGCACCTACCCCAAAATGGGATCCCATTGGTTTTGACCCGCCATATACGCTGCCTTACAGGCGATTCCATGAAAGGCAGCGAGGAACCCTTGAAGAAGGAAGTGGTCTTGAAGGGTTCTGCAAGCTTTCATGTAAGCTTAAGGGGGGGACATCTGGTGAAACTACGAGGTTGTCCAAAATTTGCTTGGATTGGTGGTTTGGATGTAAGGGTGTGGTTTCCCATTTACACTGTACAAACAGAAGAGGTTCAAATCCACCTGAAAACCTGCTGCCAATCACAATCAGATAATCAACTGCGGTTCCCTTATCTAGGGTACTAAACACAGAAGGTATTGCTTCGTAATTTGTATACCCTAAAATATGAAATACTCTTGGAGGAAACTCCAATTATACTGCACGAATTCATTTTTCTAAGGGTTGATTCTCCATTCTTTCCAACCATCGTTCTTTTTGGAAAACCGGCCGTTTCCCCGGGTTTCCGGAGGTTTTCTGGAAAGAAGGATCCCTGGAAAGAATGGGGAAGGTAGCACTAGAATTCTAGGGGTCCTCGTGGAGATTCGTCCGAAGTTAACAGAAGCCAGGTCCTAAAACCTGCAGCTACGGGGAGCAACAAGGACAACGAGCTTTGCACATGTGTGTGTGTGTGTGTGTTTTAAGGGGAAACCCCAACATGACTTCGGTTTTTCCTTGTGGGTTGCCTTCAAAGCCACAAAACCTGAATACCTCAAAAAGACGAGCCGCAGACTCCTCTTTCGATTGCCCTGAAGATTTACATTCGACAAGGCTTGAGATATCCACGTTGGGACCAGCCAAGGGTCGATCAGGGCTCCCTATATGTCTACTTAAAACATCACCCCCACCAAAGGAAACTCGTGTAACATGGGCCAGAAGGTGATGTTCAACACCAACAACAAGGGAAATCTAGGGCCTAGGGAGTGTCAATCCTGGGCTTTCTACATGGATTTCAGAACTCTGCCTCCTGACGCATCACTTGTCCAAATAAAACGAGAATGGCCATGTTGTTAGTTGCCTACTGTACTGTCCTGAAGATGAACATCTGGACAATTGTTCTTGGATCTATGCCACGTTTCAGTCAACCCCACATAGCAAAAGCAACCTGAAACTTCATTTGCATTCGCCGTCACTGAGTTGCCAAAACAGAAAGAAGAGAGGTACACCACATGTAAAAGAAGTATGTGCGATTGTAATGGCTTCGACATAGCAAGCAACAAACCAACAATTAAAAGACGTTCTTATGCTGATGCACAGCGACATGACATCGTCTTGAGGACACAAACGATCGGACAACATAAGCAAATGACCTCATTCCACATGAATGGCATCAGACAAGCATGATGTTGCTCGCAGAACAGGTGCCCATGCTCTTCTGTGACAAGAATAGGTCCTTTGCCAGAATCGTTGACAATTCACATCGAGGTCCGCAATGAAAAACACATTCGATTAACTAAATCCGACTTTAAACTGCACACACAGCCACTGTTGCCAACCTGCAATCAAGCTTGCTTCTGTTCGCAAAACAGAACATTGGGCTTGTGTGTTGGCAGCAGCATGTCAGTCATGCAAGTCAGCAAGCAGTTCCTAGCAAGTGCGCTTTGACCTATGCTAGTAAAGTTGTTGCTGACACTTCGGCCCCACTTTCCTGCTCCGGAACCCCACACGCTGAGGGGGCTCACCGGTCTGGCGCAATGTGTTTTGTCACCGAGTCAGTCTGTATCGTGGCAAAGTTCTTGCCTCTATGCGTACCAGAAAGTCAGAGAACTGTTCTGCTTCTGTCCATGTCAGACCAGAGGCTCTACCAAATCATACGACGTTTCACGGGGTTGCTCTTTCTTGGTTGCAGCGTTAACTATCTCCCGAACCTCCCCTTGGACCATTGCCACCAGGAATCCGCTTTGCAGCCAGCTATATGCCCATCCCGCAGCTGCATTGTTGCATCTATAAGTGATCTGGCTGAAGCATTGGTCAACTAGTGGTTGAGCTGAACACCTCAAACGCGCCATTCTGATAGGAACTGTACCTTCACTAAGATAGTCGGTCATGCAAAACAAGTTGTATTCCTGCGACATGTGTGCCTTGTCGGCTTGAACCCTCTTTTCCTGTGGTGCCCTGTCTTTTTCGCTGCCTATGATTTATTTAGTGTTCGTGATACAGTGCGGGTGGACGAAATCCACTTCGCACCAGTTGGGATGGGTGAAACCCGAACTGCGTAGTGGTGATAAATTATTCAACCGACTTTTGTTCAATGGTCATACCGTAATTTGGTGGTGTTCCTGTAGGTTTACATTGAAACAAGAAGGCTGAGTTCCAAAGAGCACAAATCCATATCGACATGTCAAAAAGGGCCCAGGACATGAATTGAACTCCATCTGGCCATTCCTGAAGCCCTCACGCAGGTGCAAATCGTGGCCGAAGTAACTGACGTGCCGGATATTTCCCCTGGGAACAAACCTGGCTCCACAACCCAAGAAGGGTTTGCGTCAAACAGGGTTTCAAATTGTGATCGAAATTCGGGGATTCATGTCCAACCACTTGTGAGGCCATATCATATGCCCCCTAGCACCCCACCAGAAGCAAAATGATTTCAGGTGTTTAAGCAACCCACACGGCATTGGGTGTGGCTTTTTTAGGGACACCCAAAAATGGTGGTTTCCTCTTTGGTTTTCCTTCAAGACGGACCGAAAAGGGGTACCCTAAAAATGGACACACACCCAGAGGGAAGAAAAGTGTCCGGGGGTACGACTCTACTCGGACTGGATCAAACCAGATATGGGTGTGTCTTAAAATAGGCGACACCCTCAAAATGGTGGCTTCACTCTTCACTTCCTTCCAAACCCACCAAAAAATACAGGGGTACCTCAAAAAAGACAAACCCATATTAAGAACAAGTTGACCCAGACCTCAATCAGCAGCTTTCTCATCCCATGAAGGAGGCATGGGACTCTTCCGCAAGGAAATCAGCGCATGTTCTATGAGGCAGGCCATAGAGTCCTTCTTAAAAGTCGTTGCCCCGAACATGGTGACGAACACAGCACCAGCAACTCTGACTGAACAGTTCAAACGCGCGGCTTGGCCGTATTGAACATGTTGGTGGACTGTGAAAGACAGGGCAAACTGAAGAAGAGAAAGGGAGACGCTAAATGTTGAGAGCTATGCCAAAACTGGGCTGTCCTGAGATCCCCTGCTAAGAGTTTAACTTGTAGTGGGTTGAATGGAAACTCCCACCAAGCACTGATAACAAGCTATATAAGGGGATGGCTGGGAACCACCAAGAGAAGGCAACCAACCTGAGAGCTTCCCCCCGTGCTTCCGATCGCGCCACTAGAGGCTTGCCCAGGGATTGCGCCATGGTGATTCCTAGTAAGGATCCCTGGGCACCTATGATAACTGGAAGCACTGGCTTTGTTGCTTGCCCAAAGTTACACCCTGGACCCTCGAACCGCAAAAAAATGAGGTGGATTGCAACCCCAAATTCTGGAACTTGTGTTTTTCCCCTTTTTCAAGGGCAGTTTCAGGCTTCAGGACTTTCAGTCGTTACCTCCCTCTATTCACTTGGCCAGTGCCCAGCCAAAAAAAAAGGTGTATCCTTGTTGGGCCACCACTAGTGAAAAGGGAGAGCCACCAAGGAAAAAGTGTAAAGTGTGTCCACTGGCTGGGTGAGTCTAAACTCAAAGGGCCTGTCGCGGGTTCCATCTGCCTGACTGCGCGGTGAGGTCCACCATCTTCGCGGGGCTGGCGGGGACCTGTGAAGGCGGGCCAGATGTTGCAGACACCTGGACCCCTCAAACTACCTACCCTCTCAACAGGCTGACATCCCCCCCCTCTCCCGCCCCTCCCCCCCCCCTCCCCCCTCCCCTCCCCCCCACCCCCCCTGAACCCCCTGATAACGGACCTCCCCCCAGACGATTCCATGGAAGCTCCCAGACCCCCCTTTGGATGACTTGGTTCTATAGCGGCCTTCAGAGAGCTGCCATGTTAGTCTGAGGGAGTGTACCCTGAAAACAAGGAAATCACCTCATACTTGTTTGGGGGCAATCACCAACTTGCATGGGCAGTTTGAGGGTCTAGGTAGTAATTAGACTTTTTGCCGTTTAGCCCATGATTTTGTGCAACACTTTCCAATACATGATGCATGAAAAAAGCTGGTGAAGTGGTCAGAGGTCTTCCCAAACCCAGGCTTTTGTGGCTCGGTAGTCGAGCTCGCTATTAGATTGGACAGCTCGGCAGCATTGCTCGCCATCTCTACATCCAAACAGTAGACCTTCATAGTCGTCAGGTCTCGCAAGACATTCAAAAACAACTCCACATCTCAAGACATTCAGAGATTGACTTGAAGAAACAGTCCCAGCTGGTCTTGAAAGACAACACAGTCCTTTTATTGTCTGTTTGAACATCTCCCCATCTCAGGGAAGCTCAAGATGTTAATCAGTTTTCTGCCCAAAAAGGGATATAGAGGGAACAGTGAGTAAGAACACCCTCACCAACACCCACACACCCACGCACATGCGCACGC